AAAAAAAAAAAAAAAAGAATGAGCCGCGGGCGGGACCCGCCTTAAGGTAGCACCGGTCTGCTTTCTTGGTTCCCAGACCCGCTGGGGAAACTGAGGCTTGAGTTATAACCTAGTGTTCCCACCCCACCCCCACGCGAAAGAAAAAAAAAAAAGAATGAAGGAGAAAAACAAGTTAGAAAAAAAAATTTTCCTTGCGCGTTCCAGGAGCCCTGGGGGCTGCAAGTGGCTTCTCTGAGTCAGTGACACAGTGCCCCATAATGGATCAACACCCCCAAAAGCGAAGCAGAGTCACACAGGGATCCCAGAAAGTGCAGATTCTGGCTATGCTCGCCAGCCAATGCTACCCCGCTGTGGGGACCTCAGGAGGGGCCTCTCTGAGCATCAGGGGTGAAAGACCAGACAGCCTGACTTACATGTTGGGGCCACCACCAGCCCACTGGGTGGCTTCCTCTATCAGACCGGACGCCTAAGGGACCAGACAACTCAAATTAGTACATAGAACCTCAGCTGTGGGAACCAAACCTGAACACTAAAACATCTTGGGGGGGGCTCCACCCCCGACCACGCCCACAGCCCCTCACTGGGGGATTCTAGGCTCCAAACCTTGCCCACAGACCTCCTTTTACTTTTGGAGATGAGATCTTGCTCTGCTGCTCCTGCAAAAAAACGTGGACTTGGAATCCTCATGCCTTGGTCCCTACTGTAGCTGGGACAACAGGCTCAGCTCTGACATCAAGCTTAAGTGTGTTGTGTTCCCAGAGCTGAGAAAGCCACCTGGGAAACCCTCCCAGGGACCATTTCTGGTTTCCAACTCTGGCAGAACAAGAGAGCTCTTACCCCATTTCACAGAGAAGAAACCTCTGATTTCTGTCCATCATTAAGTCAGTCAATAAACATATGCCTGATGCTACTGTGGACAACTATACACTGGGAAACAACAGGCAGCCACGATCATCATAGCAAAGGTTGGACCTCTGTGGGCAGCAAGCCAACTACAGGGGACAAAGGTGTTTATGAGACTCTGCAGAGGAAGGATATCAGCTGAGATCCAGGGTTTCCAGGATAGAAGGACAGATTGCCACCCTCTCTGATCAGACTTGGAGATGAGCTACAACCAGCCAATGTCACAGCTCAGGTCAGGAGCAGCATGTGCAAAGCAAGAATTTAGACAAGCAATGTTGGAGATGACCAAACAGGAACCACTGGTGCCACATGTGTGGGCTCAGTGAGGTTGACACTGTAGATGGAACCTTAAAAATTCCGTGGGGGGGGGGGCAGGAAGTGACTGGAAAAAAGACCCAGGGGGATAGCACTCAGAGTTTGAGTGTTCAGTAACTCCCTGGAGCCCTGCCTAGAATCCCCCAGGTAGGGGCTGGGGGCGTGGTCAGGGAGGAGCTCAGCCTAGAATCCCTTATGAGGGGCGTGGTCAGGATGAAGCCCCGCCTAGAATTCCCCAGTGAGGGGCTAGGGGTGTGGTCAGGGTAGAGCCCCGTCTAGAATCCCCCCAGTAAGGGGCTGGGGGGTGTAGTCAGGGGTGGAGCACCCTCAATATCTGGGACCACCATGCTCTCCAAAGTCCCAGGCCTAGTCCAGCACCCCGCCCCCAGGGAAGATTCTGTACAGTGCACAGTTTCTTCGACGGTGGAACATTCCCCCCAATCCGCCCCCCCCCTCCCCCGCACCGTTCCAACCACTCAGATTCTCCACTGCGATTCTGTTCCGGGGTCCCCTGAAGCATCTCCTAGCTCAGTGGCTCTCAACCTTCCTGATGCTGAGACACTTTAATACAGTTCCTCATGCTGTGGTGACCCCCCAACCATAAAACTATCTCATTGCTACTTCATGACTGTAATATTGCTACTCTTGTGAATTGTAATGTAGCCAGCCATCTCTGCTTTCTGGTAGTAGACCCACAGATTGAGAACCTAGTACCTGCTGCTTTGGAACACATCATCCTGATCCTCAGTCCTGGTTTCTGCCGGACTGGTTTGCTCCTTACTAATCATTTTTCCTTGCAGGTTGTTCTGTCCCCGTGGCGTGTGCCTCCCTAAACTGGCGGGACCAAGCCACCCCCCCTACCCCTCAGGGCCGGGCTCAAAACTAAAGCGGGCGACGGCGTGAGACCAAGGAACACACCAGAAATCCCGGGCACACTGCTAGGAAGTTTGAGAAAACATCGCGTTCCCCACCCCGTGTCCAGTCGCCAGATGGCCTGGGACCCCAGTACCTCCTTTCCCTGCGTCTTTGCCAAACCTCACCATCTCCCCAGATCAAGCCTGTTTGTTATTGGTAGCCCAGGCTGGTCTCAGCCTACCCTGAAGAGTCGAGATCGCAGGTGCGTGTCACCACGTTTACACGGGAGTCCTTTAAGCCCCCACCCCCACACAACACCCTTCCTTCTAATGACCCTCAGCCTCGGTATACTAATCCGGTACAAGGTGCCGCGGCTCCCTACTACCAAGGACTCGGTCCCTCCGAGCTCCTAGCCGAGCGCCTGTAGGTCACACCCTTGCAGCCTCCCTGCTCTAGACTCCCAATCCCTTGTGACTTAATTTGAGTTCTGGCTCCCGGACTTTCTCTGGGGCTTCCAGGAATCCCCTCCCCCTAATGTCAGCTAAAGGTGAGCCCAAGGCCACCTTGGGACCCGAGGGGACTTCCAGGAGGAGGGAACCACTGTCCCGCGACTGTACGTTCTGGGAAGCCACAGACTCCGCGCCTCCGTGGGAGTTGCGATCCCTCAGGATTGAATCCCATCACACCGGGAAGTGGGGAGCACCGCAGAGTATCAAGTCTGCCTGGTCCCCGAGTACCCCCCCTTTGCAAAGTGGGGCTCAAAGGCTCGCAGTGACCCCCTGCCTTGTCGTCTCTCCAAAAGTAAAGAGGGGAAAGCCGAGACTGGGAGCCCGGACTGGGACTGCTCGGTCCACCTTAAATCAGACTGGCCGCCCCGCAGCCGGGGGACCGGCCTATCTCTGCCGCGGTTGGCCGGACACGCCAGCCAATGGGCTCCCGCAGCGCCCACATGGGTCTCTGGCGTCATTTGGAGCACTGGCCAATGAGTGTCACGTTCCCGGCAGCCAATAGCAGGAGGCGATGGGCTGGGCTGGGCCAATAGGAAAGCTCCCGTTGGACTGGGGCGCGTGGCTCCCACCAAGCTCCCCCCCCCCCAACCCGCCCGGAGAGAGAGCAGGACTCGCGTGGTGGTCCCTGAGAATCGTGAATCCCCCTTTAAAAATAAAAAAAGCCCCTTTAGCCAGCCTTGGTGGCGGATTCCTGCTGTCCCAGCACTCGAGAAGCTGAGGCAGGAGGATGGTTGCGAGGTGAACACCTACGTGGGTTACTGTCTCAAAACATTCTATATTAAAAAAATAAGTCCCGCGACTCATTGGTTACCTTGCCAGGCTTGGAAGACAACGCGCCCTCGGGCCTGCTTTAGACATAGGTAAACTGAGGCAAAGAATACCGAGAGCACCTTGGACGTCTAGGGAATGGCTGACGTTAGTTCGTTGTTTTTTAATCTCGGCTCGCGTCCCGGGGTTCTTTCGTCTAACCTACCAAATCACGGGTGGTGGTGGAATGGGCTTACAGGGAGATGGGAGGTTGGACGCGCTGGGCATGCCTCAGTTTATCAGAGCCGAGATTTGAGGAGCAAGGTGAGGAAGCGTTCTGTGTTGGGAAAAACTACGTATCCCAGCAGCGCCCGCGCGCTTCATCGCGCTCGGACTGTCAATCAAAGTAACGTGGGTCCCTGCAGCCCGCGCCCCCGCCTGCCGCTCCCGCCTGCCAGCTCCCGCTCCCTCCCCGCCGGCTCCCGGCCCGGCGCGGTATAATTACAGCCCATTGATCCGACCCGGGCCGGGAAAGCGGCTCCCTCAGGGAGGCCAAAGCCTTTGGCTCCCGACAGCGCCAACCTCCCCCTCCCCGCGCCCCCAGCTGAGCCACTGGGCCACCAGCCAGGCCGACCCCCTCCTGCTGGCCCAGGGCTCGCCGGTGACCTCTGAGCCCCAGTTCCCGGCCAGGCTTGACAGGCTAAAAAGAAAAACCACGCGCGCGCGCGAACACACACACACACACACACACACAATCATTTTCTCCCTAAGAACACGGGGGCGGGGGGAAGTCACCCCCTTCCCCAAACGTAGTACATGATTTTGCCAGAGAGATGCCCCCGAGGCAGCCTGGACTGGGCTAATGACAGGACTCTGCAGAGGGCAGAAGCCCCGGGAAAACTGAGTCTGGGGTGACAAAGCTGCTTAGAAAATTCCCAAGGCTTCCTAGATATGGGTGTTTTATGCTGGGGTTCTTCAGAGAGCATAGGAGTTGCCTCATTAGAAAACTCCCTAATTAAACGTTGGTCAAATTAAAATGGGGAGTTCTGACCTCTGACCTTTCTTGTGGGTCCCCTGGCTGTCGCACCTGGGGGAGTTAAGGGAGGGTGGGGTGCAGCTGGGTGTCCCAGGAGGCACCGGGTCGACAGAGGTTGGAAGAAGCCCCATCTTGTTAGGCAATAACTGAGCCGCTAGTGGACAAAGGTGGTTTGTGAACCTGAACACTGCACCAAGTGGACCCCACTCCAGGCCTCCTCCCTAACCTGGAGATCCCAAAAAACGACTTACAGTGAGATTAGAAAATGCTTAACTGCAGGGCAGGGCAGTGATGGCGTGTGCCTCTTGCGCACGCCTTTAACCCCAGCACTCAGGAGGCAGAGGCAGAAGGATCTCTGAGTTTGAGGCCAGCCTGGGCTACAGAGTGAGTCCCGGGACAGCCAGGGCTACACAGAGAAACCCTGGCTTTAAAAACCAAGCAACAAACAAAACAAAACAAAACAAATGCTTAACCAATGTGACCATGCTCCACCTGCCACAATAAAGGGCCATTTGTAGCCACCTATACTCACAGAGAGACTGTGACTTCATTTCCCCAACACTTGTGATCACCCGCTTACATGTGAATCCCATCTAAACGTTCCCCCTCAGCTCCAGAACCTTCCATAGCTTCCTATCGTCTCCAGAAATTCTCCCAAACTGCTCAACTCTGTGTGGCAGGAGGCTGATAATTACCCATAGGGGAACCTCAGGGCCCTTGCACCTGCTACAGGACAGGACTTTGCCAGGGATGGTCTGGGGGCGTGGTCGGGGTGGAGATCAGGCCCTAGGTGGTCACCTCTTGGTCAGGGCTTCTCCTGCCACTGTGAAATCCACCATGCTTTCTTACCTTCCTGCCCGCACCCCCATTTTGTGGGTTCCCGCGGCAGTTGTAGGTGTCTAATAAAGAACATGGCTACGGGGTAGGGATTGGTTTAGTCGGTTTTGAGTGTTTTCGGATTTTCTGAGGGGTCTTCTTTCTGGTTCTGGGGATGAACCCTGGGCCTGGCCCATGCTGGGCAGGAAGTCACCCCTATTGCACCTACTGGGCCTTGGCCTTCCTTCATCCTCCTGGGTTGCAGGACGGTCAGACTTGAGGGTCGCTGGGCCCAGAGAAGACTAGAGACCCTGTCTGGGGCCAAACAGCAAAGTGAGGTCCACTCTTTGCATGATCCAAAGTTGGGGGCCACCGCGGTGTCAAATACAGGCCACTTGCCCCGTCTCTTCCCTAACATTAGGCAGAGCAGAGGAGAGAGTGCCACCCAGCAGGCCCTGCAGCCATGGAAGGAGAGCTGGAAAGAGGAGGTGAGGAGGAGGAAGAGAAATGGAAGGGTAGGAGGAGGGGAGGGGAGGGTGAACAGGAGGTGGGAGGAGGAGAGGGGAGAAGGGGAGGAGAGGAGGAGGGGAGGGGAGGTGGGGTGGCTGCTGCGGGAGGCGGTCAAGGTTGTCTGGGGCTTGGCTGGCAGCCAGCTGCTGGGCCCAGGGGGCCAGGCGGTAGAGCAACCGACAGCAGGGGAGGGGAGGGGAGGGGAGGGGAAGGGAGGGGAAGGGAAGGGAGGGGACGCGTGGGAAGAGGCGGAACCCAGCAGGAACAGCAAAGGATAAAGAGCTTCACAGCCTGTGGGAACCGAGAAGGGGGGTGCAAATCAGAGCCAGAGCTGCAGGAGGACCCCAAGAGTCAGCAACAACATGAGGCTCTCTCTATAGAGTCCAGCCTCAGTTTCCCTCCTTATCCTGGTCCGTCCATCTTCGCCCCAGGATCTTGTACTTCCCCCATCGACACCACATGAGGACCCGATTCTCTGAGATTCTGAGCCCTATTCTCAAGCCCTGAGCATCAGCAGGAGACGCTCTGGACCCTGGAGACACCATGGTGCCTAGGTGACCAAATGCTGCCACCCAGTGAGTCCTGCTGAGGGTCAGACACAGCAGGAGGAAGACAGTGAGAGGAGGAGGTGGCCGCTCCCTATCCACCACTTAGTCTGGCTGTCCCCACTTCTCAGTTTCCCCTTTTCCATGTCACTACTGTCAACCCCATTTTCTCCTCATACGCTAAACAGCTCTTTAAAAGATGGGTTTCTGCCAGGAGGTGGTGGCGTACACCTTCAATCCCAGCACTCGGAAGGCAGAGGCAGGCGGATCTCTGTGAGTTTGAGGTCAGCCTGGTCTACAGAGTGAGTTTCAGAACAACCAGGGCTACACAGAGAAACCCTGTCTCAAAACAAAAGAAAGGAAGGAAGAAGGAAGGGAGGGAGGGAGGGAAGGAGGGAGGGAGGGAGGGAGGAAGGAAGGAAGGAAGGAAGGAAGGAAGGAAGGAAGGAAGGAAGGAAGGAAGGAA